TCCATCGTCAGAACCTAACCTGGTGCAGTGATTCTTGGGTTCCCCCTGGTGCAGAACAATGCCCAGCTTCATGTGGCCTGAGTGTGCAGGCAGGTTCTGGATGACGAAGGCATGATGCCTTTCACTTGCCCTCCCTGAACCCAATTGAGAACCTCTGGGATGTTATGTATCGATGCATCCATATAACCACAACCACCATGTTGTGCCAAATATTGTCCACGAGCTCACTGATGCCCTGGTCTAGATCTGGGAAGAGTGTTGTCAGAAGCATGACCAGGAGTACATACATCCATGCGGGGGCCGTACACACCACTGAGTCACATTGTGAGTTGCCATGAGGAAATTCAAGTTAAAACATCCTGTGACTTATTGTATTCTTTGATTTTCAATGTGGCTTTTCTGCTAATGGTAGTCTTTGAACTACACTTGCCTATTTGCTGTTGGACTGTAATTTATTTTATCATTGTTAAAAGTATTATTCTGTCATCCCCTATAGTGGTCTTCCTTTGTTTATCAGGTTGTTTACGATTGCTGAGCACAAAACAGACAAAACAGAAGATGAAGTAGATTTTGAATGGCCAGATGTTTTAGTTAATTTACTTTTAATCGACACTTACACTATGACCAAAAGTATGTGGACACCCCTATGGACATCCCTACTAATCTTTTAGCTCAGTGACTTTAAACATGGCTCTGTTATAGGATGCCATCTTTACTTCAGTGATAGCACTTACCCCGGTCAACTGTAAATGTGATTCTTGACTGTATGTGCTATCATGTACATGCTATCATGTACGTGCTATCATGTAAGTGCTGTCATGTAAGTGCTGTTTATGTAAGTGCCGTTCATGTAAGTGCCGTTCATGTAAGTGCCGTTCATGTCAGTGCCGTTCATGTCAGTGCCGTTCATGTAAGTGCCGTTCATGTAAGTGCCGTTCATGTAAGTGCCGTTCATGTAAGTGCCGTTCATGTAAGTGCCGTTCATGTCAGTGCCGTTCATGTAAGTGCCGTTCATGTAAGTGCCGTTCATGTAAGTGCCGTTCATGTAAGTGCCGTTCATGTAAGTGCCGTTCATGTCAGTGCCGTTCATGTCAGTGCCGTTCATGTCAGTGCCGTTCATGTAAGTGCCGTTCATGTAAGTGCCGTTCATGTCAGTGCCGTTCATGTCAGTGCCGTTCATGTCAGTGCCGTTCATGTCAGTGACGTTCATGTAAGTGACGTTCATGTCAGTGTTGTTCATGTAAGTGCTATCATGTAAACGAACAGCCCGGCCAGATAGTGGTAGACCACTGAAGTGCGTAATAATAGCATCTAATCTGTTGCATCACTCACCACAAAGTTCTAACACTGCTACTTGAAACAACATCAGCACAATAACTGTGCGTTGAAAGCTTCACAAAATGGGGTTCCATGCCGGGCAGCTGTGCGTAAGCCTCATGTCAACATGCTTACGCCAACTTGTGCCAAGGGTCGCCAAGAGCAGTGGAAACATTCTCTGGAGTGATGCTTCACTATCTGGCAGACTGAAGGACGAATCTGAGTGTGATGGGTGCTACCTACCAGAATGCATTGGGTCTACACTAATGTCTGGTGGAGAAGGCATAATAGTGCGAGGCTGTGTTTCAGAGTTCAAGCTAGGCCCCTTAGTTCCAGTGAAGGGTCATCTTAAAACTACAGGACAGGAAAAGGAAAGACATTTTAGACATTTCGGTGCCTCCAACTTTGGCAACAGTCTGAGGAAGGCCTTTTCCTGTTCTAGCCTGACTGTGCTCCGCGGACAAGCAGGTTTTATAAAGACTTGATTTGACAGGGTTAATGTGGTGGCACCCAAGAGGCCTACACAGAGCCCAGACCTCAACCCCATTTAACACCTTTTGGGATGATTCTGAACCGCGATTGCAAGCCAGGTCTTCACCTCAAACATCAGTGCCTGACCGTACAAATGCTCTTGGCTGATGAGGCACAAATTCCCATAGAGAAACTTCAACATCTTCTTGAAAGCGTGTTGGATATTTGACAACACTGTATAGTTAATATTATAGTGGAAAATGTGGAATTCATAAGAATGTCAGCTATGGTAAGGGGTTTATAAGTGGGATAAGACAGAGCAGCTAAGAAGCAGGTCATTCCTCCGATACTGCAACAATGAATACGCAGATATTAAACAAATGCCAACAATAGCCCTCATTAAAATACAAAAATATGTAAATATGTAAGGTGCTAATGACCGGTGAGAGTTCTGAGTGAATGTGAATCTGGGCAGCAGGCTGCTTGGGCCGCTTGGTTCCGGGGACATATCCCTGAGGCCTACTGCTGTTGGAAAGAAACTGTTCTTGTGGCGAGAGGTTCTGGTCTTTATAGACCTCAACCTTCTGCCAGAGGGGAGAGTTGTGAACAGATCATTTTTCAGGATGAGAGGGATCTGCTTCAATCTTAGCTGCCCACCTCAGCGTCCTGGTGGTGTGCAGGTTGCATAGAGGCGGCAGATTGCAGCCAATAACCCGCTCTGCAGAGCGATGATGCGCTGCAGCCTCCTCTGACCCTTGACTGTGGCTGCAGCGTACCAGACGATGATGGAGTGAGGTCAGAATGGACTCAATGATGGTATGGTAAAAGTTCATCATAATAGTCTTTGAGTTGTAACTTTTTGATCTGCCGCATGAAGCATATCCTCTTTGTCAGGTGGCAACATACGTTTGGCCATCTAGTGTACAGAATGTTGCCATGTCAGAGACCAGCAACAGAGAAACATTTGACCATTTTCGATCTCTGCAGATATGTTCAATTGGGCTCTGGCTGGGCCACTCAAGGACATTCACAGAGTTGTCCCAAAGCCACTGCTTTGTTATCTTCGCAGTGGGCTAAGGGTCGTTGTCCTGTTGGAAGATGAACCTTCGCCCCAGTCTGAGGTCCAGAGCGCTCTGAAGCAGGTTTTCTGTAAGGATGTGTCTGTACATTGCTGCGTTTATCTTTCCATCCTGACTAGTCTCCCGGTTCCACCAACATGCTTCACTGTAGGGATGGTAGGTATTGGCTAGGTGATGACCGGTGCCTGGTTTCTTCCAGACATGACTCTTGGCCAAATAAGCTAATTCAGGCCAAATAGTTCAATCTTTGTTTTATCGGACCAGAGAATCTTGGTCTGAGAGTCCTTCAGGTGCCTTTTGGCATACTCAAGGCGGGCTGTCATGTGCCTTTTACTGAGAAATGGTTTCCATCTGGCAACAATGTAACATGTCGCTCTGTACATCTTAGATTGAAGGTGTTCCACAATTTGAGAAGATAGATAATTGCCCCACAGTTGCCCCATGTTTTCATCCCATTTTACACAACACTGAGCTTAGATGGCCTCTTGGTGTCCTTTGGTTTTGATTGAGTCCATATTTGATTTTATTGAACTTATTTTCACATTGTTGTTCTGGCATGCGCAGTCTTCAATATCAGTTTTTGTTCAACATTCTTGGTTTTTCTTTAGATGGATTCCTAAGCTTGTGTTAATGGTCAACCAAAACCAACTGTTAGGTCTTGGTAACTTTCAATGTAGCACATTTTGGAATGACAGACCTGTCCACACAGATGTAATTGACTCAAAATGTTGTATACGTTACCTTTTTTCCAAATGGGTGTTGTTCTTTATAACTGTTTTAACAGTTTTCTCTTAACAAACACACACACACACACACACACACTCAAAACATTTTTACTAGCAATATGAAAAAAACATAAGCCTTTTTTTTAAATATGAGCCTTTGTTAGTTCTTTGTTGTCTCAGTTTTTTCTCAGAAGTATATAATTCTGCCTTGAAAGAAACATTTGACACATTAGGACACTAAAAACCAACAAAGATAGACGTTGACATATACTTATTTCAACACAGATGTAATCTTTGAAGTACATTTGTGATATCCCTTACTTCCACACAGGCTCAATGGATCCATCTTCTGAGCTTCCAACTACTTCCTATCTGGTTCCAGAGATGGCTGTGGCACCCATATCCATGTTTGGCACATGGCTCGAAGAACATGTTGTTCAAAGACATCTGTTGGGGGTAGGTGTGCAGCTGATGAGATTGTTGTGGATTTCAGTTTGTACTTAAGCTCATCAAGGTTTGCACAGGAATCCCCATTCTCTCGTTTTTCCTAACAACCCTACTGGAGTAAGACTTGCTTTCCTGCAACTGAAAGAGTAAAGATTCATTAATGCCCAGAGACAATACAACATTATTTCTACATTATTCTACATTCTTACATTTGTCTTTCTCATGTTCAGTTTTGTGATTTTTGTTATCTTTCCGATCTTATAGATACGGCTTTCTGTGTCAAAACCCGTGAGTGCACGGCATGCTGGTAGACAGTCAATACATTTCCGTTCTTTGACAGATGAATAGTCACGATGATTTGGCTTGCACAACAACAAGCAACACCAGTAAATCTGTCTCTACTTTTGACTATGATAGAAGCATATGACTGAACAATCAGTCTTCTTTTTGTCACTCAAAAGAACAGTTGACAATTGACTTGCCTGATTGTCTTCACCTCCTTGCCATTGACAATCCAACTCTCAATGTAATGGAGGTGGCAGCAGACATTCTCTGTAGACGTAAACACTTAAATGAAGATAGATGGAAATTACAGAGTCAGTGTGTGGTAGTACAAGGTTATTAAAGTGTGTGTACATGGTTGCGAGTAGAATATAGGTCATCAGCAGCGATACGAGGGTGTCTCAACAGTGTGCGTGTGGTTTGTTAATGAGTGTACAGTTAATGGCTTTTCAATGACTTGTGGGTAAATGCTTTGCGGGGTCCCGTTGGTTATAGACCCGGGGTTCTAGTATGGCAAACCATGTCTGACATATGGTTATACTGTATAGGGGTTAGTCTGTGTTTTGGGTGGTTGGGATCTTCAAAAGGCCTTGATCTCAGGCGTTTACATTTTTTATTTAACCTTTATTTAACCAGGTAGGCTGATTGAGAACAAATTCTCAATTTCAACAGCGACCTGGAGAGACGCTGGGGATTGAACCCAGGACATCATACATATAGTGCATGCACTCGACCACTGAGATACCAACTCCTCCAATAGGAACCCAGGACATCATACATACAGAGCATGCACTCTACCACTGAGATACCAACTCCTCCAATAGGAACCCAGGACATCATACATACAGAGCATGCACTACCACTGAGATACCAACTCCTCCAATAGGAACCCAGGACATCATACATACAGAGCATGCACTCTACCACTGAGATACCAACTCCTCCAATAGGAACCCAGGACATCATACATACAGAGCATGCACTCTACCACTGAGATACCAACTCCTCCAATAGGAACCCAGGACGTCATACATACAGAGCATGCACTCTACCACTGAGATACCAACTCCACCTAGTGTTGAGGTCTTGGGTGACAGTTAGTCCCGGAGATGAAGTTGGCCAATCACACCACAGGTGTAGGTACCACAGGTGTTGATAGGTGATACAGACACATCCTCTCCAGTTCAGCCCCATCATTATGGATCGGGGTGTTCCTGCGCCTCTTTTAACTGTAGTGGGCGATCAGTTCCATTGTCATGCTGACATTTAGGTCTCAGACTTCCTCCCTATTGGCCGTCGTTACGTCGTCGGCGAACAGGCTCACAACCTTCATGTTGTGAGCAAATGGGATGACGGAGCTGAAGCTCTGCATGACCACGCAGTTGAGTGAACACTGATGACGGAGGGGACTAGGCACACAGATAAGTGAACACTTATAACGGAGGGGACTAGGCACACAGATAAGTGAACACGGATAACGGAGGGGACTAGGCACACAGATAAGTGAACACTGATAACGGAGGGGACTAGGCACACAGATAAGTGAACACTTATAACGGAGGGGACTAGGCACACAGATAAGTGAACACTGATAACGGAGGGGACTAGGCACACAGATAAGTGAACACTTATAACGGAGGGGACTAGGCACACAGATAAGTGAACACGGATAACGGAGGGGACTAGGCACACAGATAAGTGAACACTGATAACGGAGGGGACTAGGCACACAGATAAGTGAACACTGATAACGGAGGGGACTAGGCACACAGATAAGTGAACACTTATAATGGAGGGGACTAGGCACACAGATAAGTGAACACTGATAACGGAGGGGACTAGTAGGCACACAGATAAGTGAACACTTATAACGGAGGGGACTAGGCACACAGATAAGTGAACACTGATGACGGAGGGGACTAGGCACACAGATAAGTGAACACTGATAACGGAGGGGACTAGGCACACAGATAAGTGAACACTTATAACGGAGGGGACTAGGCACACAGATAAGTGAACACTGATAACGGAGGGGACTAGGCACACAGATAAGTGAACACTTATAACGGAGGGGACTAGGCACACAGATAAGTGAACACTGATAACGGAGGGGACTAGGCACACAGATAAGTGAACACTTATAACGGAGGGGACTAGGCACACAGATAAGTGAACACTGATAACGGAGGGGACTAGGCACACAGATAAGTGAACACTGATAACGGAGGGGACTAGGCACACAGATAAGTGAACACTGATGACGGAGGGGACTAGGCACACAGATAAGTGAACACTGATAACGGAGGGGACTAGGCACACAGATAAGTGAACACTGATAACGGAGGGGACTAGGCACACAGATAAGTGAACACTGATGACGGAGGGGACTAGGCACACAGATAAGTGAACACTTATAACGGAGGGGACTAGGCACACAGATAAGTGAACACTGATAACGGAGGGGACTAGGCACACAGTTAAGTGAACACTGATAACGGAGGGGACTAGGCACACAGATAAGTGAACACTGATAACGGAGGGGACTAGGCACACAGATAAGTGAACACTGATAACGGAGGGGACTAGTAGGCACACAGATAAGTGAACACTGATAACGGAGGGGACTAGGCACACAGATAAGTGAACACTTATAACGGAGGGGACTAGGCACACAGATAAGTGAACACTGATAACGGAGGGGACTAGGCACACAGATAAGTGAACACTTATAACGGAGGGGACTAGGCACACAGATAAGTGAACACTGATAACGGAGGGGACTAGGCACACAGATAAGTGAACACTGATAACGGAGGGGACTAGGCACACAGATAAGTGAACACTTATAACGGAGGGGACTAGGCACACAGATAAGTGAACACTGATAACGGAGGGGACTAGGCACACAGATAAGTGAACACTTATAACGGAGGGGACTAGGCACACAGATAAGTGAACACGGATAACGGAGGGGACTAGGCACACAGATAAGTGAACACTGATAACGGAGGGGACTAGGCACACAGATAAGTGAACACTTATAACGGAGGGGACTAGGCACACAGATAAGTGAACACTGATAACGGAGGGGACTAGGCACACAGATAAGTGAACACTGATAACGGAGGGGACTAGGCACACAGATAAGTGAACACTTATAACGGAGGGGACTAGGCACACAGATAAGTGAACACTGATGACGGAGGGGACTAGGCACACAGATAAGTGAACACTGATAACGGAGGGGACTAGGCACACAGATAAGTGAACACTTATAACGGAGGGGACTAGGCACACAGATAAGTGAACACTGATGACGGAGGGGACTAGGCACACAGATAAGTGAACACTGATAACGGAGGGGACTAGGCACACAGATAAGTGAACACTTATAACGGAGGGGACTAGGCACACAGATAAGTGAACACGGATAACGGAGGGGACTAGGCACACAGATAAGTGAACACTGATAACGGAGGGGACTAGGCACACAGATAAGTGAACACTTATAACGGAGGGGACAAGGCACACAGATAAGTGAACACTGATAACGGAGGGGACTAGGCACACAGATAAGTGAACACTGATAACGGAGGGGACTAGGCACACAGATAAGTGAACACTTATAACGGAGGGGACTAGGCACACAGATAAGTGAACACTGATGACGGAGGGGACTAGGCACACAGATAAGTGAACACTGATAACGGAGGGGACTAGGCACACAGATAAGTGAACACTGATAACGGAGGGGACTAGGCACACAGATAAGTGAACACTGATAACGGAGGGGACTAGGCACACAGATAAGTGAACACTGATAACGGAGGGGACTAGGCACACAGATAAGTGAACACTTATAACGGAGGGGACTAGGCACACAGTTAAGTGTGAAGCCGTCTATCCTGATCAACTGCGGGCAGATGGTTATGATGTCACTGGACCCAGTCGCAGAGGGACGTGTTTCCGTTAGTGATGAGGGCAGCGTGTCCTATATTGGCCTGTTTGACACCAGTTGTGTTATAGACAGAGGTAGTAGTTGTTGGTGAAGACACCTCACAGCTGGTGTTCTGTGCATTCTGTGTTTCGCGTGCGGGCCTTAATTTACCTGAGTAGCTGGCAGACCTGGTCCTGTATGGACTTGAGTTTCTTTGCAACTTAGCTGCATCTGAGTCCATGCAAACGTTCTGGCTATGTTGGTTTCAACTGTCTCTCATGCCTGTATACATTGTAGAATTTGTTCAATCAAAGAGTGCTCTGCACTGTTTTGACAGACACATAAAACCTGGCCTAGCAGTATTAATCATTATTTCCAGAATATTGTCCAGGTCAAAAGCAGTTGGTGGACATCCTGTACTATAACTGGACATTGCTCCTATTTGCACAACTGTATATACAATTACAAATTTCTCTACATACTGCTCTTTGCACATTTTAAATCTTGCTCTAACATCTAGACATTGCTCCTGTGCACTACTGGGATTTATATGACACACACTATATGTATCCATTACTCAAGCTAGGCAGGGTCTCCTGTTCGTCTTGTGTGTTTTTTGCTCTTTTGGCACTGTTCATGTACGTTGAAAAATGTGTGTCCTAAATGCTGCAGCTTTGGGTCAGAACAAATTCCTGGTTTTTGTAAACAGACAGTTGGCGATTTAGAAATGGTGCATAGAACACAAGTGACAGGACAAACACTTTCTGGCTTAAACAAATTTAAAACGTGATGAGTTTTGTCGACTTGCATAACATCAGCTAGCATTTAATGGCTCATTAGCATTTCGTTCTGTGTTTCTGTCAAGAGATTGGTCTTTAAATGTATTTTTTATATTGTATCATCTGCAGAAAAAAGGGTGTTTCTGACTGGTTTGTGTTTTGCACTGTTACTGATCAACTTAAAGCTGTACACACAACCTTACCAACATAGAAATGTTTAATTTTAAGGGAAATATGGGTGGTGACAGGGGTGGTGACAGGGACCAGGTCCTTTTGGCACCTGGGCCCATCCTGATCAAGTGGTGAGTCATTGAAATGCTCTACCAGGTTAAGACAGTCATATTAACATTTTGTTGAATCAATGTGATTGTTAAAATCACCCAGGATAACTAAACTGATAAGCACAGAAAACTTTTTGAATAAAAAGACTGCACTTGATGTAGGAAGACGTTGGATACATATCGCCCAGTCTATAATTCAAAAGCAGAAAGTGGAAGAAAAACATAATGTTAGTGAAAATAAATCTGAATTATTCAGTGGCTGTGTAGTCTTCTATGTAAAATTTCTAAGATTTGCACACCTGGATTATGATTTTTCTTTTAATTTTTTGGGAGATTTTAAAATTCTTAAGTGTTGGTAAGTGAGTGGCATGTAGGACCCAGTAACCATTAAGAGGGACAAAAATAATTAGATTTAAATCACAGTCTTTACTGTTTCATTTGTCTATTCCACATGGAGTAAAACTTACATTTTTGTAAAACAACTTGCTAAAGTATTATTGTTAATACACATTTTTCTTTAATTGACCACTCAAAAACATTCCCTTTTTTATTGATATGTAACTGTTTTGCAGATGATGAAGATGGCATACATGGTGTAGCTATCACTGTGCTTGTAAATAATAATGTTACTTAGTAAGTTATTTTGGAATTGTTCCAAACATTCCAATCAATGTGTGGATTTTTTATTCTTTAATACAGAATTATGTTAGTGCTTTATTTCATTTTTGAAGATTTAAATTTTTACAGTAGAATTA